TTTCTTGTTTTCCATGAGGGGATTTATATGATTTAGTATCTGCACGTTTGCCAATGCTGGCTCCTCCCCCCAAAATTAGCTGTTTATAAAGGCCTATAACAAAATTCTTATATAAAAATTAGTCCAGAGATAAATGGAAAAATTAATAAAACAGACTATTTAAAGTTAATTAAAATAGACTAATGAAGATTGAGTCCCACCAGAAGACAAGAATTTTTAAAAACTAATAAAAGGAGGAAAGAATGGAAACCTAGAAAAAAAAAAGGTTTATTCTGAACTCTCGAAATCTAGCTGACAGCAGCAGGTGCTGCCTGTATGTAAAAATCACAAGAAGAAATTCGCTTTAGGAAGAGAACATTCCACACACAGAAATAACAAATGTTAATCAGTGCTGTACAGAGAGTCTGTGGAAGAGTCCGTAGAAGATTCACCATCTAACCCATTGTAGTTAGTGGAAATATTAATAAATGAATCTGAAAGCAATTCCCTTCTCTGTATTTCAGGAAAAAGATAGGTTTCAGCACACACAAGTCATCAGAGAAGAAAACTATTTGTATGTGGGATACCAAAAAATGTTGAAGCTAATGTGAAGTCTAGAGAAAATAGAACCTTCTTCAAAATGAAGGCAAAAAGACAAACTTAAGTTTTATTTCTTCAGAACAGGGCCAAGCCAAGAGCCAGGTTTTGGAGGGAAAAGAAAAATTAGAAAAATTGGCTGGAAAAAGCTCATGGGGAGAAAGAATGTGTTTCAACTGCCAAGAGAGGGGCCATATTGCTTCCCAGTGTACTAAAACAAAACAAAATAAAGAAATTTTACCTCAGAGAATGAATTTAAACCAGGCTAAGTCTGTGTACTGCATTCAGAACCGTCAAATGGCTCCCCCTAGTGAAGAGCCAGTTGTCATGGAAATGACAGCAGAGTCAGCCGAGCTCTCTAAAATGGACACATATAGGGGAGAGATCTCAAGTTATGACGATAATATTCCTATTGCTGAAATTAAACACTGTTTATATATTAGAACTGATTCTCAATTATTTGAATCAGCTGGAGACAATATAGGAATATTTGAACACAACTATTTAGCATTGAGAGACACTTGCTCCCAAGTTACCATTTGTCACTCTGATATAGTACCTCAGAAGCACATTATTCCTAATCAGCATATGACAATCAAAGGGATTGGGAAGGAGCTAGTGATTTTGCCTGTAGCAGAAGTTTTAATTCGTTATCAAGGATGGCAAGGGAATTGACGCGTTGGAGTTTCATCGCAAATCCCTGCAGCAGTGCTTATAGGCACAGATCTCTCAAAACATGTTAAGAGTGCATTGGTGGTTACACAATCACAAACAGAACAAACTGAGGCAGAAAGAAACATTACTGATTTTCAAGAGAGAGATGGAAATATACCCCAAGCTGAGGCATTTTCTCT